TGTTCAGAATGGTTTGATCCCTATCCAGCTGAATTCCTGAGAGGAGACGAAATCCAGGTCTCCTACTCCTCCGCCATCTTGCTCCGCACCCCCCCTTTCATATCTTTTGATGCCTCTTGGAAAACTCATGTTTTGGTGGATCAAAACCTCCTTTCCCATCCTTTTTTTGAACCTTTTTTTTATTCCTTTTGCTTCTGAATCTTAATAATCCAAAATTTTAAACCAAAGAAATTAAACTTAAAGGAAAAAATTGAGAGGTATAGTTACATTCACTGAAATAATGGTTTGCTTTTTGTTGTTTCCTTCATTTTTGTTTACATTTTCTTTTTTCAGTGCATCAGGCTTTAATCAGAATATGTTCTAAGCCAGTGATCGTTCAAAAGGTAAATTCCAAATCTAAAGTTTTGGTATTTAGTCTTTTGTCACTGAAAGTTAGAAGTGATACTGGGGTTTTTAGTCTGTAAATCTATAAAAATGGCCTTTTAATTATTAGTCATGCCTCACATTTTGAAAAGTGTAAGACATAATGCCTCTCTATTTTTTCAGGTGAATAAACTTCTCTTAAGTTATGGAACATCCTTAAATGTAACTTTACTATTATTTACACATTTTTATAAGAAGGGAATGTTTTCTCTCTTGAAACTTTGAGACAAAATGCTTAGGTGTGTCATGGAAGGCATATCTTAGTTACTCGAAGTTACAGGAAATAGGATGAGGTGGAAGATTGACCTGAGTAGGAAAGTGAGATAAATGACTTGGGTATTGTTTTGAAATATTTGTTCTTGCATCACTATTTTAGTCCCTGTTAGAAAAATCATGATTTCTTTTTCAGCTTGCTTATTATCCTTTCATGCTATACTGTCTTCCTCAATCAAATTACAGTCTCCTACTAGTGGGTGTTTTAGCTTAGAAGACTCTGAAAATCAGAATGTTCTGGCAGCCTTGCTTATTTTGTGAATCCACCAGTAAATATTGGCATGTTGTTTTCCTGCCCAGGGTGTTGAGTCTGAATCTGAAGATTATCGTGCATCAGGGGAAGTTAGAACTGGCAGATGGAAAGTGCCCACATATAAAGACTATTTGGATCTTTTTAGAAGTCTCCTGAGTTGTGACCAGATGATGGTAAAAATGACTGTTTTAAAGTTATGAAAGTACCGTTGTTCCTCTAATTAGTCTCCACAGTTTAACCCTTAGGACTTTCAGAATTAAATTTTACTAACTTTTCCATTGGTTTTTTTTTTAAGTACTTTGAGTAATAAAAAATTAAAATGGTATAAGTTAAGAACAAAATCGTACAACTCATGTAAACTTAATAATTGCCATAGCTGAGTCCTCATTTCATCCATGAGTAGCCAGTGTAGTATTTTTGATGCTAAGTTATTCTTCCTAACAGATCCAGCCTCTTAGGTAACAAAAGTGTAACAGTACTGTCACCATGGGAGAGCTATTCTCTTTTTATTTGTTAAAGATGAAGATTAAAAAGAGATAAATCTCACTGATTCAGTTGGTGTGAAGAAGATTGGTACACAGTTATTTACATTATTTATGATTAGAATAATGCCTCCTGCTTAATGTTTCTGGTAGATCTTTCTCTGATGTCAGCTTTAAGCCTGGTTCTAGCCACCATTTTATCATAGACTTTGACAAAGCATTATAGCCTAGGAAAAACAATTTTTGTCCATAGATGATTTCTATCCTGTGAAAAATCTTAGGAGTTTTTAGTTGTTTTCGTATTGATATAAAATAGTATAGCAGTGTTAGTAATTTTACTTAATATTTCTTTCTTATATGTGACATTAGATATTCCTATAGTTTGAGGTCAAGTTCCATAGAATATTTGAGTGAAGGCAGAGTAATTGGTCTATGTTTTTGGAATAGTAGAATATTTTCACTTTTATAGAAATGACAAATTATACTTTTAAGTCCATTCTGAGGATAGGTATACATTTTTTCACATGTATGTATGCTTACATGTGTATATATATGTGCATGCATGCATATTTATGTGTATATACATAAATGTATAAGGATGTGTATTTCCACAAACATAAGTATATAATGTATGTGTGTGTATAGTATACATATGTGTTTTTACACACACACACACACACACACACCAAGTGAGATAAATGCCTTGACAAGGATTGGCCTAAATCTTCTCATTTGCCACTGTTTGCTTAGTATCTGTTACATGCCTGGGTAGGTCATATCTGACTGAAATGATATTGTCCTAGTAATTTAGGAAAGTGTCTACATTTTTTAGCTTGAAAACTTCCAGGTAAATCTGCTGTAGTTTACACAGAAGTTTCTATAATACCTAATTATGCGTATACATATATGCATTGTAATGCTTATACTGATACTTGTTTGCATTAAATTTTGAAGTTTATTATTTTTCTTTATTTAAAGGAGTCTCTTTTAGCAGATGAAGCATTTCTCTTTGTGAATTCCTCCTTTCAAAATCTGAATCGTTTGCTATATGATGAATTTGTCAAATCAGTTTTGAAGATTATTGAGAAATTGGATCTTACACTAGAGAAACAGAATGTTGGGGGACACGAGGTTAGAGGTTTTGTCAATAATAATTTTCCATCATTTTTATACAAGCTCTCTTTGTATGTAAGCATCCAGGGAATAATAGCACATTTGTAGAGTGTTGCAGGAAATTGATTTCTGTGGTATTCATGTGTGTCATTGATACTTTGCTATTTGAATAGCCCAGTGTGTAGAAAATGTTATTCCTATATTTGTTCAAAAAGTAATTTATATGTTTAATATTTTGAAACCACTTATTTTTAAAAAGTTGTTTACTAGGTTTTTACTCATTTCTTAGCAATAGTGAAGAGTCAAATCTTACTTTGCGTAGAGGTGACTTTTTGTAGTAGGATAGGGAAACCTGGAATTCCCATTGTTTATAGCTAAGGAAACTCCAGAGTCTGGGTGCAAAGTATTAAATGTATTCTTGAGATAGTAGAATATAGGCAATAGGCAGAAAATGAAGAATACACATTCCGTTTTTTCTGTATCCAGATTTCCTGGCCTAAATAGAAGGTAAGTCATGGTTTAAGGCTGCCAGCTAGAAGCTGCTCTGCTCTTATCTGAGGACAAGTTTTAGTAAAACACTATGGTAATGACACTAGTGTTGAAGGGCTTGAGTTCCAGTGGAAAACATCTAATTTGCTTTTCAGCCCAGTGATTTTTTTTTTCCCTTAGATTAGATTATGCATGTTAGTACATGTGTACTTCCACTGCAGTACCGTAAAGTTAGACAAGAGATAATGGGGTGGATATGCAGAGGATAAATAAAGGAAGCAGTAAAAGGCCATTTATCACATTGACTGTATTGCATTTGTATTGTTCTATTTTTTATGCTAGTTGATGGGAACACCAGTGTGTGTTCTATTACTTTTTATGCTTTGTTTATGTCTAAAATAATTTCATTGAAAAAGTTGCTGAAGGGGCTTCCTGGAACTGTGTCAGCCAACAAACGTGCTTTTTAGGATACATGTCTTTGTCACTTTCGTTGTCTTCAGTGGCTTCCCTTGCACTTTCTTTCTCTTCTTGTTTTCTGCTCTCTTCTGTTTCCTGATCTTTTTACTTCACCTCCAGGAGGTCAGTGGTCACCTCTGTGAGCATTTCCCAGTAAGCCTATACTCCGCCTTATACCCTCCTTTTTTACAGCTTCCAGTCTGCATTTCTTTTCCTTTTTTTTTTAAGATTTATTTATTTATTTGAGAGAGTGTGCTTGTGCATGCAAATTGGGGGCGGGGCAGAGGGAGAGAATCTCCAAGCAGCCTCCCTGCTGAGCACAGAGCCCAGCACAGGGCTTTGTCCCAGGACCTTTAGATCATGACCTGAGCCAAAATCAAGAGTCGGCCGCTTAACTAACTGAGCCACCCAGGCGCTCCCCGGTCTGTATTTCTAACTGCTTGTTTAACATTTCCACCTGAGTTTCATAACACAAGCACAGTATGTTCATAGTAAGTTACTGTTACTTAACATGGTCAGTTATTCCTCTGGTTCTCAGCTTGAAACCTGCAAGTCATTACTGACACTTTTTGTGTTCTGAAATTCTACCTCTGTCAACAGGTTTTTTGCTTCAAAAAGTTACAGTCCCCCCTTTATATTTTGTATTTGCACCACTCACCTCACTTTGTAACTTCCTATGTGTCCTTTTCTTTAATGTTTTCTGCAAGCTCTGTCAGCTTTATTAAATTGTATTAGTTGTAATTTTGAGGACCCATCTGTACCTCTCTCACTTTGATACAATGTTTGTTTGGGTACATCTACTTTTAAGGATGAAAAGGAAGTTACTGGTGTTTGGGTGATCCCGACCTCAGATCCAGCTGCTAACTTGCATCCTGCTAAACCCAAAGATTTTTCAGCTTTCTTTAACCTGGTGGAATTTTGCAGGTATTTTTTAAAATTCTAATTATTTAAGGGTGGAAATCACCAGTTATTAGCTATAATATAGGAAAACCACTTACACAGATGTATGAAATGAAAGAGTTTTAACTCTAAAATTGCTTACATGAACCATTAAAATATATCTATAAACATACCAGCTTAGAATTACCATTGTTTTTCTCTTTAAAAGATGCTCAGGTGGGGAAAAAAGGGAATATGAAAATGTTCATATAATGGAATCATATACCTTTTTGATTATGTCCCTTATAATTTTGAAGCTAAATAAAAATATATGGTAAGAAATTCTACATTAAGCTTTTAATTTGTTTTTACAGAGAGATTCTTCCTGAGAAACATGTAGAATTTTTTGAGCCATGGGTACATTCATTTGCATGTGAATTAATTTTGCAGTCTACACGGTTGCCTCTCATCAGTGGTTTCTACAAATTGCTTTCTGTTGCTATGAGAAATGCCAAGAAAATAAAATATTTTGAGGTAAGCTTTTTTTTTTTTGTGGGAACATTGAATATTCTTTTGTTTTTTAGGTTGTATGAGTATGTATAAAGGCATTATAAAAGATTATAGTATATTGCAGTTTTAAAATCTCATTGTATTTTCCATACTTTTAAAAACTGATAGTGTGAGTGGCAATTGAATGACACTGTTAAAAAAATTAATAGCATTTCCTGTTCTGATTTACAAGCACTTGGCTAATAAGGTTAGATTAACAGAAGTTCTCAAAGTGTGGTCTAGGACCAGTATCAGCATTACTTGGGAAATCTATGCCCTTTGCAGACTTATCTAATCAGAAACTCTGGGGGCAAGGCTGAGCAGTCTGTGCTCACAAACCACCCAGGTCATCTGTTGGCTAGCGACATTTGAGAATAACTGAATTAGTATAGCTAACACTCTATAGTCAATCATGAGTGGTCCAACTGGTTAAATACAGGGTGAGCAGTTCTCTTGGTTCATAGGTGTATGTGTTGGAAGACAGGGAAGGGGAGAATGGATTTAGCTAGGCCTCTGGCTTTTGACCAGCCATTCACTTTCCATCTTATGCTTTCTCACTGTCCTCTGCCTGAAGTGTTATCAGAGCCAATTTTTTTTCCTCTCTGCACAAGACCTTGGCAAAGTGAAAATGGAGTCACCCCTTAGAAGTGCTAGATTAGGACACACAAATCCATGATTATTGTTCACTTTACTAATTTACTGCTTTATTCGACAGGGAGTTGGTCTGAAGGGTCAGACACAGTCTCCTGAGGATCCAGAAAAGTATTCTTGCTTTGCTTTGCTTGCAAAATTTGGTAAAGAGGTAACTTTTAAATGATTTTTGCAGTGTTATCATGGGCTATTTAAAAAGGAAAGTATGTTGATAAAAAATCTTAGTGATCATAAATTATCTAATTACTTAAAAATTGGTTTGCTTAATCCAGATTGGGATTAAGGGATTAGGAAACACTGATAGAGGAAAATCATTGTGTTTCAAAAGTCCCTTGAGTTTTCATGATATACCTTGAATGATTTCAACTTGAAACTAATGGATTCTTTAGCTCTCTTATAATGAGAATTAAGTACTTCAACAAATGAACTTTTCCTCGAGATTAGTGCTTAATTTGTAATTAAGCCATGTCATATAAAAGCTGCATGATCGCTTTTTATATTTGAGAATAAGGTAAATATTTTTTAGTTGATTTTCAAATTATAGGCTCTAGTCAGGTGCATAGCACTGTATTTCTCTTCTTTCTTGTTAAGGTTTCAGTTAAAATGAAGCAATACAAAGATGAACTTTTGGCCTCCTGTTTGACCTTTATTCTGTCCCTGCCACATGACATCATTGAACTTGATATTAGAGCCTACGTTCCTGCATTGCAGGTAGATGCATTATCTTAAATCCATTTTCTTCACGTAATGTTATGTTTTCTAGAAAACATGGAAATATCAAGGTCTTGCCACTGCAGTCACAGTAGGTGCTTACCCATCAGACACCCCTGGTTCTGCCACTTAGTAGCTTTGGGACTTGGGATACTTGGCTTGGCCTCTCAGAGCTTCCCTTACAGGTGGACATGAGGATTAAACCTATGTGTTGAAAGTCTGCAGTGTAACACCAACTACATAGACTGGTGGTGTTTGTTTTCCCAATAATGACATGGGATGCACTACTTACCTCCAGAAATATCTGTCAGTAGAAGGGTTTATTCATTAGAAACCAAAACTAATTGGTGTTTTTTCTTTAAATGTTAAATTTCCTACATTTCAGCTTACCCTGTTTGTATTAATATATAGATGGCTTTTAAACTGGGCCTGAGCTATACCCCACTGGCGGAAGTAGGCCTGAATGCCCTAGAAGAATGGTCCGTTTACATTGGCAAACATGTAATTCAGCCCCATTATAAAGACATTTTACCCAGCCTTGATGGATATCTGAAAACTTCAGCCTTATCAGGTAAGGTTTAGAAGAATTGTGATGTGTATCTTAAATAAAATAGCAATGTAATAACTTCAATAGGACTATTTGTATTTTTATAATTTCTGAAATTTGAACATATTTAAAATATGTTTGATATTTTTGTTATCTCCCCAATTTAGTCAGTATAATTGTGACATAAGAAATAACAATTTAGGGCACCTGGGTGGCTCAGTTGGTTAAGCGACTGCCTTCGGCTCAGGTCATTATCCTGGAGTCCCGGGATCGAGTCCCGCATCGGGCTCCCTGCCTGGCAGGGAGCCTGCTTCTGCCTCTGACCCTCCCCCCTCTCATGTGCTCTCTCTCTCTCATTCTCTCTCTCTCAAATAAATAAATAAAATCTTTAAAAAAAAAAAAAAAGAAATAACAATTTAGTCAGTATAATTGGGACATAAGAAATAACATTGGGACATATAATTGAGGTATTAAACCTGTTTTTCATTTTACTCACTTATATCCTACCAAGATTTATAAAATCTTCAAGGGCAAGAGCTCTATCTTTAATATCATGAACTCCTTATAAATCCTAATACACTGCCTTGAAATAAATAAATAAATGCATTGTTAAATGGGAATTAAAACTATAAAAATTCAATATTAATTTTACATTTTGTTGATTTTTATTGGTTTTCCAAATATAATTGATGAAGTACTAATATTAGCCAGTTATGAAGAATTATCATAGTAGATACAGGTTTAGGAAAAGATTCAAAGGGAAAAAATCATTGGCCAGGCAAAAGTATACTGGTCAAGAAAAGTAGTAGAGTTCAGAAGACAGATTTACTTGAACCAGAATGAAGATGAACATTGTTATTAGATGGAGCAAAAAGAAAGATTCAGATTGGAGAAAGACACTGAAATATTGCTAAGAATTTAAACATTACTGTCATGAAAACTTAAGTGAATTAAGTGGAAAATTAAGTGTTAATTGTATCTATGTAAGTCATTTTTTTGTTCAACTTAAGTTTTGTTGGTTTGGAAACATTTAAGTGGAAGTTGTGTGACACATTTTATTCAGAGTCTGGTTTTTATGACAACCTTGATGCATATTCAGAGTTTAAGAAGAGTCACAATTTTGAGAGATTTTTTCTATAAATGCTAACAATAACAAGCATTATTTAGAGACAAAAAAATATAAGCTAGTTAATGTTTATAGCTTACTTAGGCTTTTGAAATTCACATTATATAAGGATTGCTGCTATTTGAGTAAATCACTAAAATACATGGACTTAGTTTAAAAAATGAATATATCTAGTAGCAAATGGTACTTTTTGCTTTCTGGAATTTAGTTCAGTCAGTTAGCTCATTGAAAAGATTTATGTTTCTTTTGGGGCACCTGGGTGACTCAGTCAAGCATCTGACTTTGGCTCAGGTCATGATCTCAGGGTCCTGGAATCAAGCTCTGTATCAGGCTTCCCACTTAGCAGGGAGTCTGCTTCTCCCTCTTCCTCTCTCTCTGCCTCTGCACTCGTGCTCTGTCTCTCTCTCAAATAAATAAAATCTTTAAGAAAAAAAAGGAAATGATGTGTTTCTTTTATTTTTTTTTAAAGATTTTATTTTTATTAATTTGTCAGAGAGAGAGAGAGGGAACACAAGCAGGGGGAGCAGCAGGCAGAAGGAGAAGCAGGCTTCCCGCTGAGCAGGGAGCCCGATGCGGGACTCAATCCCAGGACCCTGGGATCATGACCTGAACTCAAGGCAGACGCTTAACCGACTGAGCCACCAAGGCATCCCATGTTTCTTTTAAATGAATAAGGGAAGATACTGTGATTCTTCTAAGCAGAGGATTTATCTACTCATAAATATGTGTAATGTACATAATTAGAAGATAGGGAAAAACAGAGAGTGAGTAAAATTAAATAACAAAAGAAAATCCATAATCTTAAAAACTACTATTTTTAGTAATGTTTTATTTGAAATGATCAAACTTTCAGGATAGTTGCATTAATAGTGAAAGGAACTCCTGTATACTCTTTACACAGATTCCACAGGTAAGGTTTTGTTCCCTTTGCTTTATCATTACATGTACTCTCCTTGTATTTCAAGATAATACATGTGTGTGTATTTACACATGACATTTTTTCCTGAACCCTTTGTGAGTAAGTTGCAGGCATCATGGATATTTATGCCTAAATGTTGCAATGTGTATTTCTTTCCTTTTTTTTTTTTTTTAAGATTTTATTTATTTATTTTAGAGAGCGCTTGAGCGGGGTGGGGAGCAAAAAGAGAGGGATAGGCAGACTCCGCGCTGAGCACAGAGCCTGACGTGGGGCCCAACCCCATGACCCTGAGATCACGACCCAAGTCAAACCCCAAGAGTCAGCTGCTTAACCAGCTGAGCCACGCAGGTGCCCCACAGTGTATTTCTTAAGAGTGAAGACATTATTTTATATAACCATGGTATCATCAAAATCAGGGAAAATAACATGGATATGTTATTCTTTTCTAATCTACAATCGATATGTAGATTTCTTAGTTGTCCATTTAAGTTCTTTTATAGCTTTATTTTTCCTGGTCCAGAATTCAACCTAGGATCGTGTGTTGCACTTAACAATCATAATGCCTTAGCTTCCTTGAATGTGGGTAGCTCTTCAGCCTTTCTTAGTTCTCATGATGCTGACATTTTTAGATGATAGGCCATTTATTTTCAATGTGGGCTTGTCTGATGTTTTCTCATAATAGGATTCAGTTGTACTATTTTGGCAGAAATACCCATAACTGATGCTGTGGTTTCCTCACAGCATCGTGATGGTAATTGGTGCCATTACCAGTCACGTTCATTTTGACCATTTGGTTAGTGAGTTTCTGCTCCAACTTTTTCTAACTGTAAAGTGACTGTTTTCCCTTTGTGGGAGTTAGTCATTTGAAGTTCTCTTCCTCTCCTAAAGGAAGAGGCGTGTCCATGGCAGGAAGTGCACTCAGAATTCTCCTACTCCAGAGTAGGAGTATTCAGTAGGAGTATTCAGTCCTAAGGCCTTTAGGTGGTACAGAGGAAGTTAGGTGTTAGGGTAGCAGTGGTGCTCCCCAGGAACATGAGGAGGACAGCCCTGAGGGGCAGCCTGCATGGGTGTCAGAGCTGGAGCAGGGTGGGGGGGCGCCTACATGTTGGGGCAGCCTTATTGGGCATGGGGGTCAAAGCAGGATGGGGAAGGTTAAGCAGATTAAGGTTAATGGAAACTAGGTTTCTCTTTGTTAGAGAAGGGAGTTACAAATAGAGAAAGAGAAAACTAAAGTGAACCCTATGGTATTGGATAGGAAGTGTGAAATCATGGTCCTCCCACTTTCCCTCCCCACCCCTTTTTTTTTTTAAGATTTATTTATTTATTTGAGAGAGAGGGCACATGAGAGGGGGGAGGGTCAGAGGGAGAAGCATACTCTCCGCTGAGCAGGGAGCCCAATGCAGGACTCGATCCCGGGACTCCAGGATCATGACCTGAGCCAAAGGCAGTTGCTTAACCAACTGAGCCACCCAGGCGCCCCATCCCCCTCTCTCTTTTTCTCTTCCTTTCTGGCTCTCTCTCTGTCTTTCTCTCACATGCACATACTTATATACATACATATATGGATAAGTAAATGTAGAAATAGAAATGAAAGTGTGTGTGTGTGTATGTGTATGTATATATAATACATGCATACATTTCAGATCAGTCCACTGAAAGGACCTGCCTTGGAGTAGTGATACCTTAATAGTAATGAGCAAACCTATTGCCCAGATTATAGCTTCTAAATATCATTTTACCCTGGGGCGCCTGGGTGGCTCAGTCGTTAAGCGTCTGCCTTCAGCTCAGGTCATGATCCCAGGGTCCTGGGATCGAGCCCCACATCAGGCTCCCTGCTCAGCAGGAAGACTGCTTCTCCCTCTCCCCCTCCCCCTGCTTGTGTTCCCTCTCTCTCTGATCTCTCTCTGTCAAATAAATAAATAAAATCTTTAAATAAATAAATAAATAAATATCATTTTACCCTAAAAGAAACCAGTACTCCTTGAAGAGATGACTGGCTCCAGCTTGGAACAGGGAAAATACAAGATAAACCTAGAATATTATATTTTCTGAGACATCAGGAAATTAAGGAAGTGTTCAAAGAATGATGGAGAAATGTCACAGGCCAAATTGGGGATAATTTGGATCAGCAAAAGAAGATAATCACAGGGGAGGATCAAGATGGTGGAGTAGGAGAATCCTGAGTGCACTTCCTCCCATGGACACACTGAAGCTACAATCACATATAAAGCACCTCTCTCTGAGAATGACCTGAGACTAACAAAACAGCTCTTTTATAGCTAAAGATAAAAAGTCACATTGAGACAGGAAGGGCAGAGGTGAAGACTGGCCAAGACCCTTACTCCCAGTGCAGTGACCCACAAGCAGGAGGAATATCATAGGTGTGGAGGTCCTCCCTGAGGAGCAAAGGGTTCAAACCCTATATTGGGCACCCTTCCCTGGGAACCTGTACCAGGAAGATGAGCCCCATGACATATGACTTTCAAAACCACTGAGACTTAATTCTGGAAGAGCTGGAAGGCTATGAGAAACCAAGACTGCACTTTTAAAGGGCCCGTACACAGACTCACTCACTCTGAGACCGAGCACAGAGGCAGCAGTTTGAAAAGCACCTGGGCCATATGTGAAGGAGATTTATTGACTGATTTAAGAATGTATGCTGGAGGGGTAGGGCTATGTAGGAACTTTCTCTGGGAATGGAAGTGTTAATGGATGCCAGGTCTGACACTCTGTCTTGCTGGCACCAATTACCCTGCGCTGGTTTTCCTCTGTGAACCAGCCCTGTGCAACCTGCCCACCTTGGCAGACACCCCTCCAAAATGGCTCCCACCCCACTGTACTGGCAGGTGACTTTGGCCTGGACCAGTGCTCCCCAACCCCATGTGGCTCCAACCCCACCACACCCTGTAGGCAACCTCAGCCAAGACTGTCTCCCCACCATCAGCTCCTGCCTTGCAGGGGCAGCCCCACCACCAGTAT